GAAGTGATTTGGCATTTGATGAAGGAGATTCTAGAGATGGAAAATGCACTAGTTGTTCATCATGCAATGAGTGATCTTACCTACCTGGAAGGAACGAAGGATCAGTACTGGGATTTATTAGAAAATGAAAAAGTACATAGAGACAGTGATTATCCTGTTTTCCCAATAGTTGTCGAGTGGGAGGGACTACCTAAGTTTCTATCACAGATGTTGAACGTAGGGGTCCCATATTATCGTAGAAATCAAACAAGTGGTCTTATTGATAATAGCGATGAAATACGAGAAATGTGTGTCAACTGGGCATAGATTATGATGCCCTTGGTCCCGAAGGGTGCGTATAAGATGTTGACGAAGAAGATGAAGATGGTGACAATGAAATAGTGCCACACAACAACGATAATGGCGAATGACAATTATTTTTTATTTCTTGGGGTGTATGTTAAATTATTGTATTAAATCTTTAATGTTAAATATGAGTTAGATTTAACCCCATTGGAAACATAATTTTATTTCATATATTTTGTAACCTGAACATTTACATAAATTTAGTACAACAACATTACTCCAATAAAACACTATGTTTATCCTTGATAATTGGGCACATTGGATGAACTTCCACCTGGAGCTGAATTACCACCGCTTCTCAAATCAGCTGAAGGACATTTACGGCGGTCGTGTCCTATTTAGGAACATATGCCACATTTATGTGCATAAACGGTATCATCAACATCCATTTGGTTCTGTATACGTGTTCTTTTTTGCACTTGTCGTTGACGCATATAATCCTTTTTACACACCATTTTGAATAGTTCCGGCGGCCAATAATGCTCAGTACCCACTGGCTACAACTATCCATTATAGGTGTTTAAGTATGCATCAACACTATATTCTTTATCAAAGTATCTCGTTGCCGCAAAACCTGTATGTTGAAAGCACTTCATGGCATGTGAGCATGGAAAGTGATAGATTGACCATTTTCCACAGGAGCATAATCTTCTGGCTTCATTGACGGTGTGTGTATTATTCCCACAGTTGTGATGCAGACCCGTGCGAACTTCAAAAATATTTCGCTCGCTGCAATACTGCAAAAAAAGAATGCTACTGTGCTCTCTTCCTATATTTCTCAAATCGATTCATTGGTCGTGGCATAAATTCAACACCTCTTTCCATCAATGATGATGTACCTCTAGATCTTTCATCAAACCTCTCTGCCATCTGCTTGAATGACATTTACACCATAGCAGTGACAAGCAATCTACGTGCAAACTTCAATAACCCATTTAAAGATTGACACATTTGTAATCAGAATTCCCCATCTTATACCACAATCCGCATGCAAAGTCCACTTGTCAAGCTCATGTCGCATCATCCAACGATAGGCTTCTGGGTTTTCCTGCCTAATCAATTCCATTCGCCTCCTAAATTTACACTCTTGGTGATCTGTTGCAGCCATCCACATTAAATCATACAAGTCCATGTTCGGATAAGCCCACTGGAAGTTGGCCTTCAAGTGCCTAACATAGTAACGGTGGTAGGCATACGGTTCCTGCCATGCACGCAAATTCTGTACAGAACTTAAAATACAACCATGCCGATCATATATTAGACAAATACCTAAACACTGTTTGATAACGTGCTCCTTCAAGTGGTTCAAAAATAATGTCCACGTTTCTTGGCTTTCATTGGCACAAATAGCAAATTCTAGGGGAAATATACTTCCATTAGCATCTACTGCAATGGCGATCAACAACTTAATATCATACTTTCCATAAACATGAGTGTCGTCTATGGATATTACCGGCCGACAATGCACCAAACCATCAATGGATGGTTTAAATGCCCGGAGCACATATCTGAATATGTATTTTGGTATTCTCGGACTCTGCTCAAGCTTCCAACAATTCTGAGGTTAAAGTGTTGCAATGCAGCCATGTACTTGGGTAGAGCGGCAAATGACTTATCCCAATTACCATAAACAATTTCAAACACACGTTTACGCCCGAGAAATGCCTTTTTATTTTGGTAATGGTACATCCAAATACCTCGTGGACAGATGTTATACACTCTTTGATCTTGTACGTTATGGATGCTTCAATGTGTGGAATCAAGACAAGAGAAATCAAGTTAACATTCAAGTTAAAATGATTCACACTGAATGTGTCCATTTCACAATTATGGGTGCCAATGTATTTTTCCACAATCCACATATTTATTTTCAATATTCTCGCATACAGCATCCAATTACAACCTTGAAACAATCTACGATAAATAACTTTGTATACTTTCGGAGATGACTAATGAACCACGATCTCACGACACTCCTTTATGCTGTACATTTGCACCGCTTTGCTTAGGCGCGCTTTATCAGCAAAAAGCATGCCCTTTGACATCATTGTTGCTCTAGATTCATCCCACATTACTGTCCGAATTTCGTCAAGATCCCTTGTGAGGGCATCGTCATCCGACACACTTGGCAACTGATCAAGGTAGAGAATCTCCCTTGAATGAAACGACATATGGGACTCGTACACTCTTGGTCTAACGGGAGATGGAGCATGCTCCCTCGTCAAATCAGGTTCATCATTCTCATCACCCTCATCACGGAAGGGTGTGTCATCTCCAGACTCATCAGAATTATTGTCATAATTACTATCATCTTCCTAACTCTGCGCATCTGGCAGATCCTGATTAAATATGTCATTTTCGGGCAATTGAGTAAAGACATGACCTTCAAGTTGCTCGTTTTCACTGCAAACCAATAAAATAATGAGTTTCTCAAATTCATCCAAACATTACATATAAACTTATTCACTTCACTTACTAATCATAATGTGTTTATATCCCATGATGCACATTATACTATTGATGATGACTCCCGAATGGACCACCAACATACCAAAACTAGGCATATTCCAAGTTTGCAACTGTCCGTTGGTTCATAACTTGTAAAATTCATATATGGCCGGTACCCCCGTGGAATATATGAGTCTTCATACACATTAAGTACATAAAAATAAACATCATAACACAAAGAAAGATTGAAGTTTACCACTCGGCTTGTGGATTATGTAAACTTGGGGAGAAATTATGTCCTCGCTCCACATTCGCCCGTGGAGATAAGTTTAGATCTGGCCAAACTCTTTCACCCGGAACCTGTTCAGATAAAACTGCTCCAAAAAACCACCCGATGATTGGGGGATATCCCTATTTTACGGAACCTTGTTATTGCGAACGTCTTCAGTCTTGACGTACATTTCCAACATTTCATCCGGAGTCCTCAAAAAATCTGTTAGAGTCTCATCGTCTTCGATGTTAAACTCAGCATAACAAACAACCCCTTGAGGAGTAACATAATACGGATATCTTCCAGTTACTTTAATATTCACTNTCCCCAATATAATGAAATCCTAATTTTTCGCTTTTCGGACATTATGACAAAATGCATTACTACTTAACGAACAAATATTTTGAAAGACCTAAAGGACCCACATTGAATTTTTACCTAATTTTGGAATTTTTTAAATACGAAAAAAATCAGTTCGAGGGTACAATAATTGAAGTATAGTGCATGCATAGTATGCGCTATATATTTAGCGCATACATAATAAGCGCTATACCCATATGAATTATTGGTGGTTAGTTAAGTGCAAGAGAATTGTTGGTGGGGCAAGACATTTTACATATAGCGCAGTTATTCATCGTGCTATACCTTAATGGACAAACGTGTCGTTACGGTATAGCGCGGAGAATAACCGTGCTATATATAAAATGGTACACAATTTTTTAACCTATTTGTGTCTTTTGTGTCCAAAAGAATCACACCTTGGTTCCTGACTCACCAGCATTTTACCTATATTGCTGATTTTAATCTTTGTTGGTGTATTCATTTTCATCATAGAATTATGCACTAATGGTTGAGGTAAGGAAATAAGAGGAACCCCTTCTGTTGTTGCTTGATCTGCTGTCCATGTTAATGTTTACGGTGGCGGCCAGACGACCGCCAAGGAAGCTCCTCGAGCTGGCGGTGGACCCGCCGGAGGTGGTGGTTCTAGAGGTGGAAGCAATATTATGAATGATGGTTCAAAAGTTGGTGCAAAGGATGTTACTATAGTTATTAATAGCACAAGTGGTAAGGTAAATACTATTTTTTGTTCATCAAACAGCTCTGTTAATAAATGTGTCCATAAAAAAGGGTACTTAGTCGGAGTTACTATGAACGGTGGCGCGCCTGGTGGTGTCCATGCTAATGGTGGCGGTGGTGGTGACAATGACGGAGTTGGCAATGGTGGTGTTGGTGGTCGTAGCAATATACAATAGCACTAAATAAATAGCTAAAAAAAAGTGAAAGAAGAAAAAGATTTTTAGAGAAATGATAATTGCTACAATAAGTGGTATGTCAATTCATTTTTGTTAAACATATTTTGAGATGTGAAATGTGAATTACTTTAGATCGGGTTTTGATTCTATAATTTTCTTGGTTCCGATCTTATGATTTTCGTTTATCATTCGTATCAACTTGGTTGCCTAGCTATAACACACCTCTTGGGTGTGACCCTTCCTCAGACCTTGCATGAACACGAAATACTTTGTGCACCGAGCTTTCCTTTTAATATGAATCGAGACGTTCTCAATTAAGCAACTAATTAGGTAAATTTTTCGATGTTGAACGAAGTGAATCACTACTTTATAGAGGCATTTTATCGATAATTTTGGCCTTTAATTTCCTCAAAAAGACTTTTTGTTTCCAAAATACTAAATTTGTTCCTAAGAACTTTAGGTAACATAAATTGGCATAACGCTATACTAAGGAAATGTTATTTTCTTGATGAAATTACGCAGAAGTTTCCTACAAGAATCATGAGACTATCAAAGTAAATAGCTCTTAGCCAAACAGGGTAATTGCGTTTTGCAAAATAATGAAATTAAATCCACGTGTTTGTAAACTATAATGGAAAATAAATTCTTGTGGAACCCATTATAAAAAAGAAGGCTCAGTTCTTTACTAGAACTTGAGAACTTGGTTAGAAAATGGATGTGTTGGCCATTTTAAGCAACATTTTACCAATAGTACTGATTTTTATCTTTGTTGGTGTATTCATTTCTATCATGGAATTATGCACTAATAGTAGAGCTAAGGAAATTATAAGAGGAAATCCTTCTGTTGTTCCTTCACCTTCTGTCCTTGTTAATGTCTATGGTGGCGGCCAGCCTGCGGCCGCCAAGGAAGCTGCTCGAGGTGGCAGTGGAGCCGCCAAAGGTGGTGGTTCTGGAGGTGGAAATAAAGTTGTGAGTGATGGTTCAAAAGTTGGTACAAAAGTTGTTACTATTTCTATTGATGGTACAAGTGGTAAGGTAAATACTACTACTACTACTCTTCACTCATCAAATAATGGCTCTACCGATAAATGTGGCATATGCAAAAAGGCTATTTTGTTGGAGCCGGCCTCAGTGAACGGTGGTGTCCGTGCCAATGGTGGCGGTGGAGCAGCCAAAAATGGTGGTTGTGGAGATGGAAGTAAAGTTGTGAGTGATGGTTCAAAAGGTGGTGCAAAAGTTGTTACTATAATTATTGACGGCACAAATGACAAGGTAATTAATACTACTACTACTGCTACTGGTGCTACTACTCTTTACTCATCAAATAATGGCTTTACTGATAAATGTGGCATATGCAAAAAGGCTATTTTGTTGGGGCCTCAGTGAGGTGCGAGCCAATGTTGGTAGTGATGGTGGTGGAGTGGTGGTAGCGACGACAGGATTGGTGGTGGCGCAGTTGATGGCGGCGGCGGTAGCCATATTAAATAAGTATGTAGCTAGAAAAAGTCTATATAAAAAAAGAAAAATAAAGAGAACGAACTTATGTTTAAGGAGGGGATAATATAATTGATGCTTCTTAAACATCGTATGATCCAGATAAACTCCTTTTGATAAATCATGTAGTATATGAAATGTGAATTACTCTAGTTTCGTGAATTGAGTGCTGATTTTATGATTTTCTTTTTCTTTGCAAGATCTGATTTTATGATTTTTTTTAAAAAAATCTTTTCCCCTATTAGACTTGCTTCCTTGCAAAACTATAATGCTTAATACAATTATTCAACTATGTGACTATGAAAGGACATGTTTTACTTTAAAATAGTAGAATAGTCCATATGCAGTAAACTTAAAACATGTATTTAAATAGAAATTATTATAAAATTTTGGAAATTGGCTTTACAAAAATACTATTACATATTGCTTTTGTAAGTTTATTTTTTTTCTTCTATTTGTGCTCTGTTCTTTTGTACCATCATGTTAAATATGGAGAATTAGCATGCATTTTTAAAAAGAAAAAGTAACTTTTGGGGATAAAAATAAAATAATAACTGATTTTCTTTTAATTTTCATGATATTTTGTTGATGAACATATACTAATTTTTTTTGTTTAGTTTGTGTAAAAATTGAATTTGTATAAAAATTTGAAAATCAGGCATTTCCCTAACAAACGATATAATCAAATTTGCATTAAAATTTGATGAATGGAAATCCCGCAAAAGTTAAAAAACAAATTGGGAACTGCACAAGCTTTTATTGTTTTGTTTTAAAAGATATTCTCCCGCAGTATTTATTGAAATTGCGACAGCTCCTATTGTTTTTACCTTTTTCTTATAAAATATTCTCCCAAAGGTCTCTTCTTGAAATAGCGGTGCAATAGGTCGCCTCTTCCAATGGCGACCGTTTTTCAAGTCCATAATGGGCTAACATGAAGACAAAAGCCCAAGACCAAGCCCATCACAAAACCCTAACTACGGATCCTATAAATATGCAGATCTATTAACAACACCTTTCAATTCTCATCCGCAGATTAATTCAGTTACTGTTGATCTGGTTTACTATTCATCTTTTGACGTTAATTATTTTCAATTTTCGTTTCAATCATAGAGCATCAACTATGATTTTCTCTGTTTCAAAATAACAATAACAGAGGAAATACGAAAAGATGCTAAATTAATTACTTTTATTTGGCACTTATGGACACGCTGATTTCAATGTTTTTTCAATGATTTTCTGCGTTTTCTCGTAGGTTCTACATTTTAAAAAAACAAAATATTATTATTTTGAAAATTTTGAGGCCGGTATTTTGCTCAGTGATGATTTAATTTGCTTTAACCACACCGAAAAAAGAAGTTTGTTGAGATTAGGAGAAAGACCCAATTTGGATTTTTAGCTGAAGGGTGTTACTTAATTTATTTTTGCTTAATTAAGGGCTTTATGAGTCTTAGATCCATTTTTGGGTGTAAAGACGAGAGCTTTTTGTTGAGCAGATTGAAATTAAGTGGGATTAATTATTTCTTCGGCTTAAAATCCTTGTTGGATCTGAACCTATTATCACTACCTTCTTATGTGGAAAAACTTTGGCCCGTGTCTGAGAGCAAATAACACTTTTGGGGTTTTATTTTGTCACTTATTTGTTTAACGAATGTTTTTTGTCATAATTCATTGGAATTAACAGAATAATGATTAGTTTTTTATTTTCTGCACAAAATAATCAAATTGAGGGTGGATATTATGAGTGTTATCGGCAAGAGATATGAGGCTCGAATTGGATACGGTGGTTGAATTTGACTGCACATGGTATAAATTGTATCAATAACAAGATGTAATTAAAAAGTAAGGCATTAGTGTAAATTGAGCTAACTATGTATAAATTGAGAATCTTGAAACAAGAGGACGACGTTAGTTGTCCAGTTCAGTCCATAAATTATGAAAAAGCTGTGTTATGAATAGAAGTGTTTGATGTACAATGTTTTAATAGGTCTTTTAATGTTAAACAAATATTTGTACAATATGATTATATATGACTAATTGTATGTGATTATAAAAATGATGACTCTCAATCTTCAAACTCTATTTTACCTTAGCAAAAAGTAATAATCTATAAACTTAGTAACTCTTCACACCATGTATTTTAATATGAAATAGAATAAATAACAATTAATACATCCTCTCACGCCAAATCAAATAATCATAAATTGCCATTCTTTGGCATAGAATCAAACTATGGTTTCAAAAACTTTCGAGGATAAGGTGCTGGTGCAGGGCTAGATCCCTCGTGAAATAGTGTGGTGAAAATTCTATCCGCGAGAACTGCATTTGCTGCATCTGTTGGATGAAATGCATCCCAAAAAACATATTCTGTTCGATTCTTGCACAGATTCGAGTTTGGTAAACATAGCCCTCCAACACTTGTGTCCACATTGCAACATGACGTATTCGAAATCTTGAAACCTAAAAACAAATAATAGTAGCCAAAATTTTAGCTTTAAAATCCCAAGTAAAGAAAAGTTCATAAAAAAGGTAACAATCAAGAAGTACTATTGGACTCCCTTAAAATCTTTTTAAGATCTTTGAGTTAACAAACTCTCGACCTTTTCTAAGGTAGGGGTGTAAGGTTTGCGTAATCATTAACTTATCTCACTTGTGAGATTATATTGGATTTGTTGTTGTAGTTCAAGGTATAGACCTACCAATTTTCTCAAGAGTTGGAATGTACTTGTTATTCCTTATCTTGGGATCAAATTAGTTATTGGACAATGAAAGGAGAATGTACTTGTTATTCCTTATCTTGGGATCAAATTAGTTATTGGACAATGAAAATAATAACAAGTCTCCTTGACGCTATTGTTATAATAGGATCACTTTTGGTTAACATTACACTACATGCATTCGCAAAGGATGTGGGGTAGCGGATGAGGCTGCTCTTCCCTTAACCAAAGCTCTCGTTGGTAGGGAGTGCTTCCCCGAATGGGTCCCTACGTAGCACGAATACTGATATAGTCGGATTTCAATGCGGGTATCGAACACCGGATGGAAATCCAAAAAAAAGAACTACACCACACGCGTACCTATGCATGTAAGTCGTCAAGGGATAAGGGGATCATGTATTGATTGTCCTTTAAATTTAAGTTGTCTAAACGAATTTCAGCTTGCTGTTATGTTAGTTGTTGCGCGCCTTTACTTCTCTCACTTTAGAAAGATTTTTCAGTATTTTACGAGCAAGAATATGTTTGTATTGTGGGAATATTGAGCTTACCATAAGCCGTAGGGTTCTCAATCAAGTCTAGAACTATTGGATAAGTGTCTGCAAATGTTATCTGTGCATATGGGAGGTGCTTATTGAGAGAAGCAATCAGTTTTCCCACTTTTGAGTTGAATTCTTGCACCCATAGATTGACTTGTTTCAAGCATATTCCCCTTGTGGATTTCACCCTTTGGGAAGGAATGCAGCCTAGTGGTCCAAGTCCATGAAACACCATCTTTCTTGCTCCAAGTTGATGAAGTCTCTAAAATTCAAGAAGATGAAAATAACACAAGTGTGACTATTGAGGGGTCGTCTGGTTTGAAATATAATAAAAAAAGGCAGCCCGGTGCACTAAGCTTCCGTTATGTGCGAGACCACAAGGGTCTATTGTACGTAGCCTTACCTTGGTTTGAAGTATAAGAAAATTTGATCTCCACATCATGAAATTCTCTATTACTTAGCAGTGGCGGATCCACATGAACACTTGTGGGTGCTCAAGCACCCATTATCTTTGACCATATTTAGTAAAATTGCATAGGTAATTATAAAAATATTTATATAAATATTGAGTGAGCACTCACAACTAAATTCATTTTTTCTCTTCTATCGGAATTTTTATTGCAAGTATCTATGACTTTAAAATTGTGAATCCGCCACTGTTACTTAGACATCGTTTGGTTTTACGTATAAAATCCTGCATAATTGTATTGAACTCTGCGTAGCTTACTGTGAATTGTTCGCCTAAGGTTGAGATTAGAAGCTCTACAAACTCGTCGTGTGTATACTGTTGTCCAGCAGCTAAGAATGGTTGCAGGAAGTTATTGACATAGTCATTGCTACCTGAAATGATTACAAGTTAACATCAGAGAAATTGAAGTGTTTTTTTTTGGCAGATGAATAGTAAGAGATGTAAAAAGAAGTCTTTCTTGCCTTTTTTATTTATTTATTTATTTATGTATATGGATACAACTATCTCCGCTCTCAATGTGCCTATGATGTAGCGCCTGGCGGGCTGTTAGCTAGTGTATATCATCTTACGAGAATAGACGATGGTGTGGATCAACCAGAAGAGGTATGCATAAAAGTATTTGCCTCCATAAGGAAATCCGTCTTAGGTTTGGAAAAGTATGGATTTTCAAGAACGAGAATCAAATGATATGTTCGAAATCTCTTATGATAATCATCCACGCTTGAAACTTATCTTAATGCCTGAAAGTTGGATAGGATGACTCTTACATAAGGATTATATTGCCCCTAATTTTTATACCCCTAACTTGAAAAGATAGAGATGTTGTTTCTGATAGACCCTCGGTTCAAGAAAAATAAGAAGAAAAAGGAGTAATAACAAGTAGTAACACCAGCATGCCAATAAGAAAATCGAAGCGAACAAACAACCAGTGATAACAGAAATATAAGAATATGCACAAATATACCCATTCCAATAAAGTAGACAGCTTTATTAACATGTTTTTCTGCAGCCACTTCTCCAATTTTAGCCTTGATTGCTTCCTTTGTCTTGTCAAAGCTCATTATTTGATCATCAAATGTCATTCTCTGAATCTGTTTTGTGTAGAAAGCAAAATAAATATGTGTTTGTTAGAGGAGGATGGAATTTGCTAGGAAAGAAATCAGAGAAATTAGAAGTAAAATGGGAAGTGATTTGTTACAAAGTAGAGTCCAGTGTCATTGAGAATTCCAGCTCCACCAGATGCATAATTCACTCCTTGTAATATTGCATCATCATTTGGTGCTAAAGAAAGATATGGTGGTGGTGATTGAACCCCAAGTTTTGCAGCTGAAAGTTGAAGAGAAAAAATGTTACTTTAGGTGGCAAAGTCAACTCATTTTTCAGTAACTTGCTCAATCAACAACAACAAAACCAGAGTAATTCAATAGGTGGGGTCTGGGGAAGTAACTTGCTCAATCCGTCCAAGTTTAAAATTAAATTTGAAGGTTGGGAATAATAAAAATTTGAAAGAACTTTAATAATTTAAAAATCACTCTTATGTTCGTATTTTCTTTTTTGAAAAGCAAAATAAAAAAGGAGGGGAAGTTGGGTCATGTTGGGCTAGATGGACCTGTTAATTGACTCACTTGGCACAACTCATTTTGACCTAAGCAAACTTTGAACGTTTTAGATCATAACCCGTCCATTGGTTTGACCTGCCCAAGTATGACCCAACCTATCCATTTTCTACCTCTAATGATATAAATAATAGCAGAAAATAAAAAAGCAACAACAAACCCCGTGTAATCCCATATATGAGATATGGAGAGAAAGTGTGTACGTAGACCTTATCCCTACCTTATAAAGATAGAGTATCTGTTTTCAATAGACCCTCGGCTCAAGGAATAGTGAAAAAGAAAATGAATAAGGTAGGACTTAAAATTATGAAGCAAAGTCTATAGAGATTACATATGATATCACCAATAGTCCTTCCATTGGTGAATCTGCCAGTAGCTCTTCCACCTTCAAAATCAATTCCATAAAAAGGGTAATTCGATTTGGCAAGAGACTGCAAATAATTGTTGTTCCCAACTTCTGTCAATGAGTCACCAAACACATATGTCACCACTGGTTCTCCAGCAGAAGAAGCCACAGATGCAACAATTGCCGTAATCAAGAATCCAAGAATTTGAACTAAAGCAACCATTTTTTGCTGCTCTTTTTTTGGTCTAGTCTTTGAGAAATGTTGCAATTTATGGCAAGAATTTATAACATTTTTTTTAGTCATGTCATGTCCTTCAATTCTAGTTTAATCATAGTAGGTGATGGATGATATTTTACTTGTTCTTCACTGAATGTGAAAATTTTGGAATTATGAGTGTTAAGTTCAAGTATTGAAGTGTTTAATTTGTTGGTAGTTGGGAGTTTCTTCTTAATGGTTGAAATTTTTCTTGCATTTGGCCAACTGAATTGGGTAACACAGTGAGTGTGTTTGCTTTTGCTTTAGGCCGGAAAAAGAAAGCATTATATTGTTGCTATGGCCTATGGGTCATAGAAAAAGGTCTCAACTTGTTAAGACTAGGGGTCGTAGGATGTATTAGGGAAAATAAATACACGTATATATTATCGTTGGTATTATTAATTCCTTGTTTGATAATATTTTTCAACTTATGTATAATTAATACTGGTATTAGTTATATACCTCATTCAATACTATTTTATACAGAGCAAACCATGATTTTTAATACATGGATAAGCATGTATAAAGACAGAACTGTCATTTCAAAACCTAACACTAAACCAAACAGTCGATAAGAAATAATCCAAGCATAACTAATTTCAATATTACTAATATACCATATTCAGTACTATTCTTATACACCCTACCAAACGACTCCTAATGGTGTCTATCATTACATTAGAAAAAACACTATATTTCTTTTCTTAACTCATTATACTTAAAACTTATAAATTTTCAAGGTCCTCACCTTAAATTTGTGTTACAGTCATCCTGATTTTATTTTAACTATTTGGGTATGCCAAAACTGAGATTTTTTTTAATGAGAATCGAATTTTACAATACAAGATAGAAGCTCTACCATTTTATTTTATGATCCTTCTTTTTAACCAATTCGCCCGTTCTACTATTTAACTATTAGCTCAGCTTTTAAATGTTTTAATAAAACTTAGTCACTTTTTCATAAAATAGACATTCTTCTAGAACTTTGATTTAGTTAGATGAGGTAGAAGAGAAATGAGTCAATCTTAGAAGACAGATCCTATCCATATTTTTAGGAGTTGCTTGGTGATCTATCTTCTTCTTTTTTCTTTTATTCTCACATGGAAGTGTAGATAAAATAAAATGAATTGACAATATAGAATTATCTCACCTTATCATATTATACATCATGTTTTTATACTAAATCTTCAATTAAAATGAAAGTGGGCTTGTGAATATTAAGGAAAATAAATATAAAAGAAAACACTGCGAGCTTGATTCCTTTTTCATGGCCAAACACGTCATTGTTTTTAATATTGGGTGCCGTGAGAATTGATCCCACCACTTATATCTTGTATAATATCGTATTAAATTGTGTGACAATCTCATCTAAAAACTTATAATGTTGGGAAATATATTTTTATTTACTTAATTATGTCTATAATCCCACAAGTAGTGTCTATCGGAAATAACATCTCTACCTAGAGGCGAAACCACCTTTTGCTAAGGGTGGTCAACTAACCATCCTTCGCCGAATTTTATAAAAAAATTATATTATGTATAAGTAAAATATTAATTTTAGATGTATAAAAGATATAATGAACACCCTTTGTTGGATTTTATTTTTACGTCTTTCAGTCTGAACACCCTTAGAAACATTTCTGGCTTCGCCACTGTCTCTACCTGCACAAGATAATGGTAAGGTCTGCGTGCACACTACCCGCCACAGACCTCACTTGTAGGGCTACAGTAGGAATGTTGTTGTAATTATGTTTATAACACAAATGTCCTTTTCTATTAAGTAATTTGTCTAATTTATAGATTTCAATTTATGACCAAAAGAAAGAAACTATTGTAGCATTTGAAATTCTAGATGGTGGAATAATAACTTAGGACATCTAATTTGAAATATAGAAAAGAGGGGGGGGGGTATTATTTTCTTCTTATTTCTTAATCCTTTTGAATTGGCTAGCTAAGGTGGACTTTACATTAATTTTCTCAATTTAATCTTGGAATTCAAATATTCAACAAGCCTACCAAATCCCCCTTTTCTCCTGGGCCATAGGAAAAGAAGATGGTCAATACCTTCTCAACTTGTTAAAGGTCAACCGAGAATAGTCATGGAATTTAATGGAAATAAATCACCAAATGCAAACAAGTGACTATGTAATTAATATTGAAATCTTATTTATGTCCAATTATATCTTGACTAGCCTCAATTGCAAAAAGTTTTGCTACACGATTAGTTTAAATTTTATACATTGATAGTATAAAAGTATTTACACAAACAGCTCGTGGCAGTTGCATATACATAATAAGCAACTTGTTATATTATGTTAAATTAGAGTGATTGTGTAAAAATTCTTTACACAATCTCATTGTATATAACTTAAATATTTAAATCCATTTTATATCTTAGACTAGATATCCTTAATTGTTAGTAGAAGTTTGGCAACACAAGTAAGCTATTTTCCAGAAATCCAAAATGTACCCAACAATTTGCTTGATTCCCTTCCCTTTTAGCTTTATTATAGGTGGAAACAGCCTAGACTTTCTTCCTCTTTTCACTTTCTTTTACGTGGAAAGGACTCCTCAAAATGAAGATTCGATACCCTTACTTTAAATGTGGTTTTAGCACCCAATTAGAAGGGTGGTATTTATTTTTTATTTATTTTGTGTGGAAATTATACCTATCCTTTAAAAGAAAGTCAAAATACTATAACTAAAAACATATAGTGAAAATCTCTGCCACAAAAATAGCAGAAAAAATTACGCACACAACAAATATATGTATTATACCATTCATAGTTATACTTTCAGAAAATTACCATTCTTTGTCATATTTGAGTTTTATAGCAAATTTACCTGCAAATACTAAAATAAGAGATCAATTATTTCGAGCTGAAAAAGAGCAACAAGCTCTAATATTAGATCGTTTGGTTAGAGTGCTTGCTTAGTAAGCGAAATCTTGAATTCGACTCTTAATGAGAGTATTCTATTTTTTTTGTATTTCTGTATTTTACCTTGGTTATATTCGCTGTGCGAATGAATACAACCGATACATGTCGTCCTTTGTATACACCCCTATCTCTATAACGAATACAATCGATACAAGTTGTATTCTTTGTATATACCCATATATTTTGTCTGGTAACAATTGAATAGTAGCTGTTGTATACTTTGTATATACCTTTGTATTTCGCCTGGTAATAATTAAATAAATCACTACAAATAATAATTAGGTAAACTATATTTACGTATGATAATTAAGCATTAAACTATAGTGCTAAGTTTACTTAAAAAGTTGGACATTAGTTGCGAGTTCTGACGATTGTATACAAAGATGTTCACATTGTTTTTTTTTTTGGGAAAGAAATATACACAACATTTACATCTTAGTCAAGTCATCGAACACATGCGCATTTGTCCCTTCCCCACTCAATAATTCAATGCTTCCCCGCAGCCCCTAAGCCATTGAACCAAAACCAAAGTAACAGAAAAACAGCTCATATGATAAAAACAACAATCATCATGTATTAGCACAAAGAATAATTCAAATGCACATTCCATTAAAGTACAAAAAAAAAAGAGTTTTTCGCTTCGATGTCCGGTACTCGCATTGAAACCCGACTAAATTCGTATTCGTGCTGAAAAATTCTATATTTTAAGGTAAACCGCTCCCTAAAAAAGGTAACTAGATACTCAGCACTCGAAACCAGAGAACTCTGCTTAAGAATAAAGGAACACAATCTTGTTGGTTGAACACAACATACTTACTTAGACCCTAAGCCAAGCACCATAATAGAATTCAAATGAATCCCCTCTGTATTCAAAACTTGAAAAATAAAATAATCCTAAAGTCATAAGATTTCTTGTAAATCCTAGCAAACCCTCGTGACATTTCCACATAGCCACCCTTACAACACATTTTTTTTCACATATAAAATTACAGTTTTTCAGTTATATTCTTCATTTTCTCAGTTTTATTCAATCTTGAAAAAACCCCAAAAAAAAAAAAAAAAAAAAAAAACCCAAAAAAAAAAAAAAAAAAAAAAAAACCTAAAACCATCTCATATTTGTAAATCCTCACAAACCCACTTGAAATTTCCACTTACAAACCCCAAAAACACAATCTTTCACACGCTCTTATAAAAAAATTACAGATTTTTAATTTTTTTTATCACTCGATTTTCATTTTCCCCAGTTTTATGCAATTTTGAAACAACCAATAGATCCTAAACCCATCAATTTCTTGTAAATGCTGGCAACCTCACTTCAAATTTCCACCTAAAGACACAATCTTTCACACACCTATATAAAAAAATTCAGATTTTTCATAGTTCTTGATTTTGATTTTTCCCAGTTTTGGTTGTGAGAATTTTAGCTTATTCTTGTAAATTCTCACAGCCCCATTTGAAATTTCCACTTACAAACCTCAAAGACACAATCCTTCACACACACATATAAAAAAGTACAGATTTTTAACAGCTCTTGATTTTCATTTTTCCCAGTTTTGGTTATTGTGGGAAGTTTATTAGCTTAATAAATGTCAGTTACTTGTGGAGTAGAGTGTGTGGTGGTGTTAGGATGTATGCGTTGGGTATGGAAACGTTGTACTTATATAGGCAATGATGACAGTGCCACGTGGCAATCAGCAAACTATGAAGAATTTGAACCTGTTCCCCGTCTTTGCCGTACAATTCTTGCTGTCTATGAAGATGACCTTCATGACCCCAAATTTCCACCTGAAGGAGGCTATAGGCTAAACCCCGATTGGGCTGTGAAGAAAGTTGCATATCAAGAAACACTTGGTAAGTAAATATTTTACATTGCAGAGATAGAGATAGTTTCTTATGATAGTGTCTAGCACGACGTAAGCTACACATGCATGTAGGGTAGGAGCTAGGTTACGACAAGGGATTCAATTGAATCTCCTTCATTGGAAAATGATACTGTGCAAATAGGGAAAAATGTGAAGAAGGTTGCATATCAAGAAACACTTGGTAAATTTTCGCATTGTTGAAATAGTTTTTTAGGATAATGCCTAGCACGACTTAAGCTCCTGGCAGCTAGCCTTTAGCTTACGGGTTCGGCTGAACTTTTGGTCCAAATCTTGTTTATGTCTTAAGAAATTCATTGAATATGTATAAATTATTAGTTTAGAATCAGTAACTTAAAAGGACTACAATCTAGAATCTGTAAGCTTCAAATGATGGCTCCGCCTTTGGCTCCATGTGCATTCAGGGTAGGATCTAGGTTATAACAGGGGGTTCAATTGAATCCCCTTTGTCGGAAAATGGTACTGTGCAAATAGGACAAAAACGTAATTTTGCAGAGTGCCAAACGGATCTCTTACAGCATTGCCTAGCGCGACTCAAATGTAATTGAAACAGCCTCTTGCAGAAATGCAGGATAAGGCTGCGTACAATAGACCCTTGTGGTTCGGCCATTTTCCGAACCTTGCGCATAGCGGGAGCTTAGTGCACCGGACTGCCCTTTTTTGCCTAGTACGACTCAAGCTCCACGTGCATGCAGGGGAGGAGCTAGGTTATGATAAGGGGTTCAATTGTCTCCTCACTCTCCTTCGCCGGAAATGATAATGTGCAAATAGGGCAAAAACTTGAAGGAAAATTTTGTATAGTGTCAAAGGGGGTTGAAAAACTAGTTTAGGTAGCAGGTTCAAATCATGTGGTGTGTGATATTCTAGTATTTTTTGAATCCCCTTATGTGCATTTCGGGCTCCGCCATTGCGTGCACATGCTCATAAACAATTTTATTGTTTTCTTTTTCCTTTGTTTCCAAAAATATTTTCATTTTAATAAAAAAAAAATTCTCTTTTATTTTTTCCAACAGGTAATGCTCCACCTTATTTGATTTACCTTGATCATGAACACCATGAAATTGTTGTAGCCATAAGGGGTTTAAATTTGGTGAAAGAAAGTGATTATAAAGTTTTGATGGATAATAAGCTCGGCAAGCAGATGTTTGATGGTGGGTATGTGCATCATGGTTTGTTGAAGGCAGCAATTTGGATGTTGAATAAAGAGTCTGAGACTTTGAAAAGGCTTTGGGTTGAGAATGGGAAGAGTTACAAGTTGATATTTGCTGGTCATTCTTTGGGTTCTGGAGTTGCATCATTGTTGACTATAATTGTGGCGAATCATGGGGATAGGTTAGGGGGTATTCCGAGGAGTTTAATAAGCTGCTATGCTGTTGCTCCTGCTCGGTGTATGTCACTCAACTTAGCTGTTAAGTATGCTGATGTTATACACTCGGTAGTTTTGCAGGTGAGTTGGTTTAGTCGTCATTGATTGGGCTACTCTAATTTGCCACTATCATACTTTAGCAACATATTCTGAAACTACTTGATTAATATTTTTTACATTAGTAGCTGACTGGCTTGTGATTGAAAAAGTTGGATATGGTGTTTAGTGTGATTTAGACTAAAATGATTGTTTAGCCTGTTGATTTAGCTAATAATTTTGGGCAGGAGAACGTAGGACGCTAGAAGAAAAGAACTAGATCTGAGGCTGGTTACATAATATGTCCTTAAATATAGGAACAGGTTGAAATTTTTTGAATGTCTGTTTCCTTTTAGTAATTTTTCGCATTGAACTTGTGATGAGTGAATGGTGAAAATGCCTTGGGAATGTTTTGATTATCATTTTATAGTGCATAATTATGTGGTCTCTTGTTTATAGTTGCTGTCTCTGCATCAAGATCCATTGGCATGTATATATAGTACTTGAAAAACACATGATCAAGAATTGCGATGCTCGCATATATAAAAACCAATCTAGGAAAGAGCTTCTCAATTATCGCTGATACCTTGTTTTTACATGATTTTTTAGGAGACAGTTGCATTAGCCTATGGCAGTTTTAGTTCTTCTATACTACAACCAAATTAATGCAGATTAAAGGTTGCACCATAAGTTTATAACGGATATATTACAGGTACCATGATTCGGAACATAGTCCGAACTGCCCAGTCAGACTATTTGAGACTTCCAAGTGGTCAGTTTTTTGTTGAATTGGCTTATTCCTCTTGTCCCGAAAAGTAGCTCATGTGAATTCACCCTGTGTAAATCTTATCTTGTTCTGATCAATTGCTTATACCAGTGGTAGTTTTTTCCTCTTACAACTCATATCCTTAATGTAATACAGCATAAGATTTGGATCTAAAATGTCTAATTGTCGATGGTGAGGGGGGAATTAGAAGCCACTAGAGTGGGAGAAAGGGAATTTGTAAAATACATCCTAAGAGAAAATGATTAAACAAAATGGTATGTATAGCAAGTGAAATGCTTGGCCTATCCACTGATAAGAATTGGAACAGCGTCGGCTCTTTACATTGGTAGATCTAACCACTATTGATATCATGCTCACTCTTTTCTGTCAGCTACTGGATATTTGAGATTTAAATAATGGGCCAGTCAAAACTTTTGGGATGTTGCCGTAACATTTACCGACAACAATGGTTTTGCTGTTTTTATTTAGAAATTTATAGCTCTAACTTGAGGATTTCTTTTCCTTCTATGATCGCTAAACTAAAATTGTATAGTTGCACCCTGAAAGCCATGAATACAATAAACTAGGTGTTGACTTATTCCTTATGATAATGTGAACTTCACGAAACAATCATGTTCTCTGAATTAACATATCTATACTGGCTTCTTCTTCCTCAGGATGATTTCTTACCCCGAACGCCCACCCCACTGGAAGATATATTCAAATCCGTCTTCTGGTTAGTTCAATTTTCCTACATTCTCTTGATGCAGAACAAAAGCCCTTGAGTTTTCGATATTCCCTTGGATTCTTTTTCTTTGGAGAAATTGTTATAAGTATCTTCTTAAACCGAGCGTTAATGCTTTCAACAGTTTACCCTGCTTGTTATTTATGGTATGCTTGAGAGATACCTTCATACCTGAAGGTAGGAAGCTGAGAGATCCGAGAAGATTATATGCGCCTGGCCGAATGTATCACATCGTTGAGAGAAAATTTTGCAGGTAAATCACATTCAAATAGTAATACTACTATTACACTGTACTGTCAGAGTTTTGCAAGTTCGTGATGATGTTGTAACATGCCTTTACGCTAAGTCTCTCAGAAAACACATTGTTCCTTGTACACTCTCTGAAAGAAGATTTTACTCGCTTTCTTAATCACATTTATTGCTTGACAGATGTGGGAGATTCCCTCCAGATGTTAGAACAGCCATCCCAGTTGATGGAAGATTTGAACATATTGTGCTGTCATGCAATGCAACATCTGATCATGGAATTATTTGGATACAAAGAGAATCAGAAAAGGCATTAGCAGTAAGTACTTTCAGAATATTTTGTCATTTTAAAAAAAGAGCTGTAGTCCTTCATTGATGATATCATTTGGAACAAACATATGTCTCAAATGTACCTTGATCACCTGAAGATTTTCAAAGAGACAAGTCTAATGTTAGGCCTTTCTTCATGGATAAGAAAACGAAGGGAGTTATGCTTTTCTTCCCTTCAGATTTCGATTTTCATGGCCAATGAAAAACTGCCTGTTTTTCTCTAAATTCACATAGTTCAACTTTGTGCCAGCTGTCTGGTATTCGGTGCATTGCTTTATCTTCATTCTCTTGGTATTAGTTCCAGAATTTCATTCTTTGACGTTTTCTTGCGTTTCAAGTTTGAAGTCTAGAAAAGCATTCTACTCCAATCCAGGCCATAGCGGAACTAGATTATCTATCAGCTTAGTTTCCATGAAAATGTTTCATTTCCGAAGATCATACTGAGACATGACCCTTAATAGGAGGGTATGGAGGTTGAGAATTAGGGTAGAAGTTTAGTGATTAAACATGCGTGTCTCATTTTCATGCCGGTAGCATTAGTATTTGTCTCGTATTTTCGTTTCTCCTTATCCGCATATTTCTTTTACTACATGTTTCTTTCGTTTCGATTAATCTATCACCTTTGCTTGTTATTGTTACTACTGGTTGTTTCTGCTTCTTTTTCATTTTTTCCTGAGCCGGGGGTGTATCGTAAACAGCCTCTCTACCTTCGTAAGGTAGGGGTAAGGTCTGCGTACGCTCCTCCCTCCCCAGACCCCACTTTGTGAGATTACACTGGGTTTGTTGTTATTGTTGTTGTAGTTGAAGTAGCAGAGTAGTGTGTTATACCCTGCTATGTTCTCATTTACTTGAATATGTTTGTTTAAGGAAATATTTTTCCTGAGTAAGCGCTTCCCTGCAGAGACTCAAGGAGGTTAGCGCTGAGACCACGACTACCCCACCACCAGTGCAGAAAATTGAAAGGCAGCACACACTAGAAAAAGAACACAAGAAGGCACTAAAAAGAGCTGTCACTTTAAATATTCCACACGCCGTGCCAACAGATGCAGAGGAGGAAGCCTCAGTGCATGTGCAGAAAGAGGAAAAATCCACGACAGAGGCAGCTTCTCTCATAGAAGGTGAAGACGCTTCCACAAGCACAGGCCATTCCACTGATGCAAGAACTAACTGGAATGAAGTAGTTGAAAAGCTTTTCGCGAAAGATGAAACGGGGAACTTGAGATTGAAGAAAGAAGCAAGTGGTACTGAATAACAACTCCCTTTGAAGATGCTTTCTCTATTCTTTCCTTTTTCTTCAAAAATTTTGTGATGCTTGAAGAAAAGTATCAGTCATGTTTCCACAATTCCTGTTCAATTCTTTGTATCCATTAGTCCTGTACATTTTTCTTTTGTAAAACACTATCTGAAATAGAATGTACAATCTAAAGCCCCAGAGAGGGGAATAGAAACAAAAGCATAAAGAAATTATGATTGGTTGTAGTTGCATTTTTATTTTGTTTTGTTTTGTATGTGAAATGCCTGAGTTGGCTAAACGAACTGTACCATGATTCTAGTTTTGGCTCTTTCCTTTATTTATTCGTGCACTATAATAGAAAAAGGTCGCAATTCTTTTTCCATAAATTTCTTAGTTGTTACTGGTAATACAACAGTTTGATGCTAGAATAAATTCAGAAAGAAAACTTTTCTTTCAGATGGAAAATCCATCCAAGATTTCCTTTATTTTGCTTAAAAAGGGCAGCTCGGTGCACTAAGCTCCCGCTATGCGCAGGATTCGGGGAAGAGCCGGTCCAGCCGAACCATAAGGGTCTATTGCACAGAGCCTTGTCCTGCATTTCTACAAGAGATTGTTTCTATGGTTCGAACTCGTGATCTCCTGGTCACATGGCAACTTTACTAGTTACGCCAAGACTTTCCTTCAAATAATTTTGCTTATCAACTCTAAATAAAAGATTAACACAAAACAAACCAACATAAAAGTACCCAAAAAGTAATCATTGAAGTTTTACTCCAGAGAACATAGACTTCAAAGTATTCAACTATAGACTTCAAAGTATTCAACTATATCAATCAATCAACCCTGCCTCCATTCAGAGTACGCAATGACTAATTGATTGCTTGCTTCTGTTGAGATTGGTCATTAAGTGGTTGGCAGTCTTCCTTTTTAGTTTTCTTTTTTGGCTGTCTAACATTATACAAAAAGAGTTGGTACCTGTATCAACAACGTACAGACATCTAAAATTGGAAGATATGTATCAAGAATCCATCGACATAGTAACAAATAACCAATCGGAAACAATATATAATAAATGGAATGGGCTTAAATGAGAGGCACAAGGTTTTTCGAAAGCTGATTGGCCAGACACAAACCACTCTATTTTCCATTCATTGATAGGTATTAAAAGGCTTCATCAAGCAATCCCTTCATCAATACAATCACAAAGGCTAATAATCTGTAGTATTACAACTGGAAAAGATCAGTTGGTGATGGGATCTAAAAAGAAAGTAGCCCTGAGCGGCTCTTCTAGTTAAAAGTCACAAGTTTAGCAGTTTCACCACTAAGTCGGCATGGCTTCAGCGCTGACATGGTAGCTATCCAGCTCCTTGTCAAGTTCCTCAGCTGACTTCTCAGCACCCTTGTTATTTCCCCTACCAACGCGACCTGGACCTCGACCACAACCACGCACAGCTGCATTTCTGAAACCACCACGGCCCCTTTGACTGTAGAGCAAAAGGAAATCCAGGTTAAGCACATGCAGCATGTAAACCATGCTAAACATCTACCATATTTATACATGTAATTGGCTTTTAGTGTTACTTGGTACTCTAAAAGATAGTCATGTACTATTTTAGTATATCTCTTCTTCTTTTTTGGGAAAAAAGAAGAAGGATTTATTATATATCTCAATTAGTCACTAAAGCCTTTATTCTTTTTATTTTCTAAGAAAGTCATCAAAAGAATAAATAACCGTCCTCATCGGACAACAACAACAATAACAACCCAGTATAATCCCACTAGTAGGGTCTGGGTAGGGTAGTTTGTACGCAGATCTTACCCCTACCCTGGGGTAGAGAGGCTGTTTCCGATAGACCCTCGGCTCCCTCCCTCCAAGAACTCCCCACCTTGCTCTTGGGGTGACTCGAACTCACAATCTCTTGGTTGGAAATGGAGAGTGCTCACCACTAGAGCAACCGTCCTCATCAGAAATTTACGTAAAACCCCGACTAGTAACAGATGTAGCACCTCCTCTTCCATGAGCTGGGCCACTCGGCGTACAGAAATCAAAGTACCAATTCAACTCTCAAAGAAAGAATAAACATTTCACAAAACCTTTGGTAACAAAAATACAAGACAGCCTATATCAGGAAATTAGAGCTTCAAGCATAGAGCGCCTAAACAAGCAAACAAATAACTTCCCAGTGCTATCAACAAAGGAAAACAAAGATTGAAATAGATGACACTGATCCATTTTCAGAACTCTAGCCTGAAATAGAGCAATTCAATTGGAGCAGACTCTAGAATCTATTAGGCACAATTCTGATCATAATACATCCGCCGCATGCGACTTGGTACGACAAAAAGCGTACAGAAAGTTAAGTATATAAGATCATAGTGAGCATTCAAATATACACATACATGAAACAAACAAAATTCTCAGTCAAAGAAAGAGATGGTTAATCGATTGACATACGCCATGACAACAGTCCTCCTCCACTTCGCTCCGCCAACTACATTTACACGAGCTGACAAAGGGTTGAAACCAGCTATTTCAATCTTAATAGGCTTCCCATCTAACTGCACATTGTTATACATTTTATGTGCTTGGAATGCATCACTTCTTCTGGCAAAGACCACCTCAGCAGCGCACTAAAAGTTAAGATAAGATCAACTTTACAATTAACGACAAAACTAAAACCATACAGACTAGTCCAACAATGTTGAGTTTAAATATTGAAAATAAATCTACTAAACTCATAAGCCGAAGACCAAAGCAACAAACACAGATATCTGAATGTATGCAACTACACCGACTAGTGACATGTGCTTCTAGATGCTAGACTTAAATATCCTTTTTTCTTTTCCAAATACTACTTCATGATACCGAAAAAGGATAAATTTTGATACGACACTATTATAACAAGAAAAAAAGCTTTAAAATTAACATCAACACGTATCTTAAACGGTAGAAAGCAGCACTTTCTCGTAAAACAATAGCAGGCACTTATCAGCCATTTTTAACAGCCCAACTTTGTCAAAACCGCTTGCAACTATGTCCATAATCTATTGGCGGCCTTTGAAACACCTTCAAACTCTATTATTAACTAAGATTTAATTCTGCTATGCAAATTAATCAGAGAATACATTTTTCTTGGGTCTTCAAATCCTGATTTCGATTAGTAAATCTGATTTCATACTATACTTACAAGTTAAAAGAAAAGAACATTGCAACTTCAAAAGATGGCAAAGAGTCAATTGGCACTTTGCCAATTGGCTGTGTGGAGAATGCACTGTAGTCAAAAAAAATTATTTATTAGGGTAAATTTGTAAATGGAAAGGACAACACTAAGAAAGTGCGTCTAAATTTACATGTTGTGCACCCCCCCCCCCCCCCC